TTTGTTTTTGAAAGGAAGGATCAAACACACACACACACAGCCGGGCTGGAAGGCTCAGCGCTCCGCTAATGAACTCAACACTGCCACTGCCTGACACAAGAGCAGCAGTGTTGGGGGCAGGGGAGAACGGAGAAAAGAAACAGAGAGGGGGAAGAGATCCGGATTAGTGACATTTACCCCACTGGCCAGCCCCAGAGACCTGCCACAGGCGGGCCCCAGAGATGTACTAGAAAGCAGAGCATCCATGGGTGCTCTATGATGGTTTATACACTTCTTTCTAGTGGGGAGGGGACTGTTGCAGGCTGGAGAACCCAGGCCTTAGACACCCCCGTCAATCACTCCTGGCAGGAGTCATTCTGTTGAAAACAGTAAGGGGGAGTCAGGGCTAAAGAGGTGAGTAAAGGTTTGCAGAGTGGAGACTTTTCACAGCAATAAGCATACCCCTCGGCTTCCACATGCAGGCAAGTGTTAGCCTAAACATATCCTGTGTGCCTCATTTTATGGACTTGCTTGGGATACCCCATCCTGTTTAGATGGCACCACTTTGGATTAAGAGCCGGCCTGTAGCACACATGCAAAGGATCAGGGTGTATCAGTGATACAAGGAGCTTCTCCCTTTTGAACTGACAGACACCAGCCCCTCTGGCTAGGCTCTGAGGCAATCCACCTGAAATGGGGCAATCCACCCCTCTGGGGCATGAGGGTGTGTGCAGGCTCTACATCTCCCTCGAAGGTGAAACAGTCCTTCCCTAGGAGGGAATAGAGCAATAGAGCCTATAATGGTTTTCAGCCCTGCCTACACATGGTTTGTGATCCACAGGTTGGATTGTAAGAGGATCAGGGCAGAGATTTGTCTTTTTTGTTGACCCTACAACAACGGAAACCTGGTGTCACAGTAGGGCCCTGGGAGCTATGGTAATGCAGAGAACATTAGACCAGTTCACACCTCTCTGCTCTTTCATGCATGAGGAAAGACTCCCAGCTATCACCTGATGTGCCTTCACAGCCTTCCTGCCAGGGTGTCTACAACCCCCCTCCCCCCACAGCTGACCACAGCTAAGCAGGGGACAAACTTTCCCTCTCTTTATTCCCTTCAACACTAGTCACCTGTCACAGGGTGGGCACCCAGGGAATCAGCACTCCTGCCTCAGAGTGCCCTCTGCTGGTTGGTGGCCCAGCCTGTGGGGTAGGTTTTCTACTGGTTCCGCTCTGTGTCCCTTCCTGGCCATGATGCCTTTCCTCCTCAGACAGGCCTATGCCCAGACTGTCCTATGTCAGTGCCCCTGCACTCTGGGGTCCTCCCCTCCCAGGGAACCCCCAATTCCCCTCTGCCCACCTTGCCTCAGTGACCCACTGCCAGCCATCATCTAGCTCCTTACCTGAAGGGCAAACTGCAGTCTGAAATGGCCACTCCTCATTGGCAAGGGGTGTGGACCTGCTGCCTTTTCCTATCTTGGCTGTGCCCTTGCAGCCCTAGTACACTCTGGCCTTGCAGTCTGGGAGCAAGGTTAGGCCAGAACTCCCCAGCACCACTCCGTCTGGGGCAGCTACTAGATTCCCTGGCAGCTAAGTACCTCCTGCTCCCCAGAAAGAGTATCTGTTCTCCTGCCTCCAGGAGCCCTTATTTATACAGCCCCAGCAGGGCCCTAATTGGCTGTATTTGCCTCAGCTGCTGGCTCCAGGCTCTCAGCCTTCCCCCAGGGCTGGGTTTTACCCTTAAAGGGCCAGAGTGGGGTAGACGCCCCATCACATCACCCATCTTCAAGAAAGATTAATTCAGACTAGAAGAGGTCCAGACAAGGGCTACTAAGAAGATCCAGGGATTTCCTGTCTTACAGAGGAAAAGAAAAGAGTGTGGCTTGTTTTGCCTACAAAAATGAGAGCTGAGAAAGGATCAGATTTCTCTCTATAAATATATGGGGGAGGGGGCGCAGAGAAGGAGAAGAGCTATTTAAGCTAAATAACAATGATGGCACAAGAACAAAGGGGCATAAACTAGCCATGTCTATGCCTCTATAACTTGTTCCTGGGGGATGTTGTACAGACCAAAACGATAACGGGGTTACAAAAAAGAAATAGATAAGATCAGATCAGCAAGGACTATTAGCCAAGATGATCAGGGATGCAACTCCAAGTGGCCATAGCCTTGGATTGCTGGAAGCTAGGAGTAGGTGGCAGGGGATGGATACTGGGTGGTTTGCTCTTCTGTTCTTTCCCTCTGAAATCCCTAGAATCATAGAGCTAGAGGAGACCTCAGGAGGCCAAGGCAGGAGCAATCTCAACTAAATTAACCCAGCCAGGGCTTTGTCAAGCCAAGACTTAAAAACCTCTAGGGATGGAGATTCCAACACCTCCCTCGGTAACACATTCCAGTGCTTCTCCACCCTCCCAGTGAAATAGTTTTTTCCTAATATACAACCTAGATTTCTCCCATTGTAACTTGAGTCTATTGCTCCTTGTTCTGCCATCTGTCACTACTGTGAACAGCCTCTCTACATCCTCTTTGGAACCTCTCTTCAGGAAGTTGAAGGCTGCTATCAAATCCCTCCTTACTCTTCTCTTCTGCAGACTAAATAAGCCCAAATCCCTCCATCTCTCCTCATAGGTCATGTGCTCCAGCCCCCTAATCTTGTTTGCTGAAGACTAAGCCCATTTCCTCTTGACTTACTTCAGTAAACATAGAGAGCAATTGATCACAGTCCTCTTTACAATAATCCTTAACATATTTGAATACTGCTATCACATTCCCCGCTCCCTGGGTACGTCTACACTGCACAGTTATTTCGGAATAAGCTATTCCAGAATAGTTATTCCGAAATAGCTTATTCTGAAATAGCTTATGTCTACACTGCAGGGAAGCCTCAAAATTAATCTGAGGCAGGCTTCCCCTAATGTAGACGTGCTACTTCAGTTTCGAACCTCAAGAGGCACTGGAGAGGAATAACTTAGAATGGCCCTGGTGAGGTGCTATTTCAAAATAGCAGAAGTGGAGCATCTATAAATGCCTTATTCTGAAGTAGCTATTTTGGAATAGGCATTATTCCTCATGGAATGAGATTTACAGATTTTGGAATAAGTTGCCCGTTATTGTGAAATAATGGAATTGCTTTGTAGACGCTTGCATAGTTATTTCCAAACAACAGCCATTATTCCAGAATAGCTTTGCTGTGTAGGGACCCCTCCATCCAGTCCTCTTTTTCAAGGCTCAGTGTAACACCAACAAATGGAACTGAACCTAGGAACTCTGGATCATAGTGCTTGAGCTATAAAGCCCTCTCACGCTCAGATATGGCTGGAGAGAAAACTCATTTCCTCATTTCATTTCTTTCTCTAAGTGGTCTAAGTGCCACTACATGGGACAATATACCACACCCAGAAGGTGTGTGGGTTACATAAACATGCCCTATAAAACACACACACACACACACACACACACACACACACACACACACACACACTTTTCCTCAGAGGTCAACTTTTCTAAAGCTTTTATCATTTTGTTTCTTGCTTCTGACTTCTCTCCAATTTGTCCACATCCTTCCTAAAGCATGGCACCCAGAACTCGACACAGTACTCCACGAGGCCACAAGCGTGCTGAGTAGATCAGGACATTTGCCTCCTGTATCTTACATAATAACACTCTAGTTAATACACCCCAGACTGATATTAGCCTCTTTTGCAACTGCCTCTCATTTTCACTTTCTGATTCGCTATAACCCCAAAATCCTTTTTCAGTAGTACCGCCACCAGACAATTATTCCCCATTTTGTAACTGTGCATTTGATTATTCCTTCCTAAGTGAAGTACTTTGCACTTCTCTTTATTAATGGCTTTTCTCATTGAGGTCTCCCAGTTAAAAACTCTGTTTTGAGATATATGGGTGCTCTGTTAATTTATAATGCAGGTTTCTTAGTCATGGTGTCACATGGTACCAAGTCAAAGCCCTTGGAGAAATCATATATACTGTATCCACACGCTTGCTTTCATCAACCAAGCCTGTAATCTTGTCCAAGAAAACAAAACAAAAGATAAAAATAACAGGTTTGTTTGA